ATTCAATAGCAGACTTGAGGAAGCAGAAGGAGGAATCAGAAAAATCAGAGGTCATTTGAAATGATCCATTTAGAGGAACAAAAGGATAAAAATGAAGAGGAGGCCAGGAGCAGTGGCTCATGCCTGTAATCCCAGCACTTTGGGAAGCTGAGGCAGGGGGATCATGAATTCGAGAGTTCAAGACTAGCCTGGCCAGCGTGGTGAAACCAAAATTAGCTGGGCATGGTGGTATATGCCTCTAATCCTAGCTACTCAGGAGCCCAAGGCAGGCAAATTGCTTGAATCTGGGAGGCAGAGGTTGCGGTGAGCTGAGATCGTGCACCTGCACTCCAGCCTGGGTGACAGAGTAAGATTCTGTCTTAAAAAAAAAACGAGGAGTAAAAAAAGTCTAATGGTCCTATAGAACACCTTCAAGTAGATCAATAGATGCATTATGAGAATCACAGAAGGAGGAAGTGGAAAGGGAGGAAAGTATATTGGAAGAAATAATGGTCAAGATTCTGGGGAAAGAAACAAATATTCAGATTCAAGAAGCCCAGTAGATTCAATTAGAACTCAAAAGACCACACTAAGCACATTATAATCAACTTGTCAAAAGTTAAAGACAAAAAGAGAATTTTGAAAGCAGCAGGAGAAAAGCAACTCATACAAGGGCACTCCAACAAGACTATCAGAAGATTTCTCAGCATGAGAAAGCATGAACTTTCAGGCCAGAAGGATCTACAGTAATATATTCAAAGTGCTGAAAGGAAATTACCAAGTAAGAATATTATATATAGAAAAACTGTCTTTTGGCTGGGCACAGTGGCTCACACCTGTAATCCCAGCACTTTGGGAGGCCAAGGTGGGCAGATCACAAGGTCAGGAGTTCGAGATCAGCCTGGCCAACATGGCAAAACCCCATATCTACTAAAAATGCAAAATATTAGCCAGACATGGTGGAACATGCCTATAATCCCAGCTACTCAGAAGGCTGAGGTAGGAGAGTCACTTGAACCTGGGAGGCAGAGGTTATAGTGAGTGGAGATCATGCCATTGCTCCAGCCTGGGCGACAGAGTGAAACTCTGTCTCAAAAACAAAAAAAGACAAAAAGAAAACCTGTCTTTCAGAAACAAAAGAGAAATAGGCTTTCCTAGATAAAGTGTAGGGTGTTCACAACCACTAAACTTGCTTATAAGAAATGACAAAGGGAGGCCTTTAAAGTTGAAATGAAAGGGCATGACATAGCAACACAAAAGGATATGAAAGGACAAAGTTTGCAGACAAAGGTAAATGTACAGACAAATACAGTGTACTCTAATGATGTGCATAAATCACTTTTTTTTTTTTTTTGAGATGGAGTTTCGCTCTTGTTACCCAGGCTGGAGTGCAATGGCGCGATCTCGGCTCACCACAACCTCCGCCTCCTGGGTTCAGGCAATTCTCCTGCCTCAGCCTCCTGAGTAGCTGGGATTACAGGCATGTGCCACCATGCCCAACTAACTTTTTGCATTTTTAGTAGAGACGGGGTTTCACCATGTTGACCAGGATGGTCTCGATCTCTTGACCTTGTGATCCACCCGCCTCAGCCTCCCAAAGTGCTGGGATTACAGGTGAGATCCACCACACCTGGCCATAAATCACTTTTAACTCTGATATAGAATTTATACCTGCAGGTATTAAAAACAAATATAATTATAAAAATATGGTAATGGATACACAACATAAAAAGTGTAATTTGTTATATCAATTACATAAAATTTGGGAGTGGAGAAGAGTAGAATTTGTATATGTGATTGAAATTAGCATAGATTATAAATATGAAATGTTTTATGTAAGTCTCATAGTAACAGAGAAAATGCCTATAGAGGCTATAACAACAAAAAAGAGAAAAGAATGAAAGTATGTCACTATAAGAAACAAAACACTAAACAAGTTATCAATATAGAAAAAGGCAAAATAAAGCTACAACTGGGTATTTGGTGAGTGTTGCCTTTAGTAAGACCAACGCCTTAAGAGGGTTTTGTTTGTTTGGAAATTTAGGCAGTGGTGAAGTTGGAGCGTTTGTTATTCTCTTCCCTGTTTGTATCAAATTCTCTGTCTACTTTTTACTATATTTTCAAATATATCCTTCTATGTTTCCATGTAGCTACTGTTGTGAAATACCACCAAGTTTCTCAAAACCAACTAAAATGGTAGGAATGCAATGGACACAGAATGGTATGTCCTAAATCCTCTTAGTCTCTTCCTCTTTTTTCTCCCATGAATTTAAAGGCTTAACACTAATTTCTCTTGATTTTTGTGAAAAATGCACAACATGAAAGGTACTCTATTAGCAAAAGTTCAAATGTATAGTACATCATTGTTAACTATAAGCACAATCTTGTACAGCAGATTTCTAGAACTTTTTTACCTTGTATAACAAATTTTATACCCACAGAAGAGCAAAGTTCCAGTTCACCGTTGTTCCAGCCCCTGGTAACCACCATTCTACTTTCTGTTCCTATGAGTTTGATCATCATGGATACCTCATATAGGTGGCATCATGCAGCATTTATTCTTTTGTGACTAGATTATTTTCACTTAGCATAATGTCCTAAGGCCAATTTATGTTGTAGCAAATGACAAGATTTCTTTCTTTTCTGTGGTCAAGTAATATTCCATTCGTTTAGGTGATGCTTTTATTTGCCTTTTTTACTCTTTACAGCAAAATCCTTAGGACTTGATCTGTCTCAGTCACTTCTGCATCCCCAGAATACAAAACAATGCCAGGCATGTAATATGCACAGTAAATATTTTTTGAATGGGTGCAGGGCTGAATAGTTATTTAAAACCAAATTGACTTTTCTTAATTTTTTTACTGGACCAAAAAAAAAAATCATTTAAGTTTGGGTTCTCTAAGAAAAAATCAGAAATTGCATTTTTAAGGAAGATATTTTATTATGCTGAATTGCCTTTTCTTGCTTTTGCTTTCATGTAAAAAAAATACTGAGTACCTTTTCTATTTCTCTTTAAAACTCCTAAAATTCTGTATGCCCCAAGAATCTCTCTCTAAGGTAGATATTGAAAGGCTTAAACATACTGACTGAAAAATGAGACTTTTTTTCTTACATCTTGATTAATGCTTAGTATTTACTGTATTTTAGTTCTAATCCTTATATGAAAGTAGCCATTCTGTACAGGGAAGGGGAAAAAAAATGTCAGGCAATAATTGGTTCAAGATTGATTGATCAATAGGTAGTTAGACAATTAGGCAGTTATGTAATCTTTTTTGGAACAAACTATTGTAATCCCTTATTTTTCAACCAGCAAGCAACTCAGCTGTTATAGTAATAATACAAATGTAGACGTTTGTTACTGTTCAGTCTTGTCTTCACAGTAGTTTGGCAAGTCTGTAAGTACTTAGGTGGGAAGGAGAACACAGCTGTTCGGTCTAGTTTGTATTTTACCAAGCAAAGCACATTAAAAACATTTTTAAGATTTGGTGATGTCTTATGGGTGATTCTCTTTGATTTTGTAGCCCTGTCACATGAGAGAAAAGATAGTTTCTTCCCTCAGTGGCAGCTGTGTGATGTGTTATTAGGGAGCTGATTTGGTTTCCTAGTTGTAGAGAAACACAACCATGTAGACTTCTCCATGGAATATTCATAAAGGTTGAAATAACTGGCATTGAGGTATGTGGACCTTCTACAAAGATTGTAAATGTGTATATTATTATAAAAAATAATTTTAAGGCCAAGTGTGGTGGCTCACACCTGTCATTCCAATACTTCAAGGTGAGAGGATGGCTTGGGCCCAGGAGTTTGAGAGCAGTGTTGGCAATACAGTGAGACCCCATCTCTACAAAGCATCAAAAAAAAAAAAAAATTAACTGGGCATAGTGGCATGCATCTATTGTCCTTGCTAAGATGCATGAGGCTCAGTCACAAGGATCACTGAACCCAGGAGTTCAAGATTACAGTGAGCTATGATTGCGCCACTATAGTCCAGCCTGTGTGACAGAACTGGATACTATCTCAAAAATTAATTCATTAATGAATTTATAATTAGAATTTTGTGTGCAAGGTATTATATTGTTAATAGTAACAATAACACAAGTAATCTCTCTGAAACAGACAAACTTTTATTTAAATAAATAATTGTGAAGAACTATATTAGGTGCTTTGCATATAGTTATTTAATTTCTAAAACAAATGTATAAATTGGGTGCAATGACTAATGCCTGCAACCCTGGCACTTTAGGAGGCTGAAACGGAAGAGTCACTTGACTTTAGGAGTTTGGGATCAGATCAGCCTAGGTAACAAAGTGCAAGACCCTGTCCATATAAAAACATTTTAAAATTAGCTGGGTATGGTGGTGCATGCCTGTGATCCTAGCCGCTCTGAAGGCTGAGGCAGGAGAATAACTTAAACCCAGGAGGTCAAGGCTAAGGTGAACTCTGATCACACCACTGCACTCCAGCCTAGGTTACAGAGCCAGGCCTTGTCTCAAAAGTATAGACTAAATACAGTCAGTCATCATGATGAGGAAGTCAATTCATAGAGATTGTCACTTTACCAAGGCCATATTTCTGGTCATGGCTGACTCAGATGGTTATGCTTTTTCCCCTAAATCACTCAGCAGATGACATTACTAAAATGATTGGAAGCCATGAAGTGACTTCATCAGTAACAACAAGAAAATATTCCAATGATAAGTAAAAAAGATGAATACAACATTGATGTCGGTATAACTTAGTACTTGAGTAAAACGATCGGAGTAGCATATAAAGATTTAGTGTTTGTACTAGGCTGATGGAATTTGTGTGTTTATTTTGTAAACTGTCTTTCATTGTGTAAGATGTCTATAATTGTGGATAAGTCACTTCCCAGTTAAGTATTATTTAAAGAAGAGTACATGCAGCATCAATTTAGTTCATCAATCAGTGTGTCTAAAAAATCTTAATGTTTTTGGTTGTGACTTCTGAAAGACTGCGTGGTCATTTGAGCTTGTATTCTTTTCTTCTTCTTCTAATTTTAGATCATCAAACTATTGGATGGAAAACGATCTCAAACTGTGGGAATCTTAATATCTAGTTTACATTTAGAAATGAAGGATATCCAGCAGGGTAAGTCTTTTCTATCACTTTTATGTTTTCCGTTTTTTAAAAAAACACTTCACTGTGAAGAATGCCAAACACATACAAAATTAAAATGCCATAATGAATCCCATGTACCCAACACTCAGCTGCAGAACCATCAGCTCAGTCTTGTTTCATCTGAAAACACCTTCCTCCCACCAAGTAGGTTATTATGAAGCAAATTTCAGATGCTATATAAGTCATCTGAAAAATGTTAGTACTATTGCTAAAAAATAAGGATACTATATTTATTTACTTATATTTTACAGATGGGGTTTTGCCATGTTGCCCAGGCTGGTCTTGAACTCCTGGACTCAAGCAGTGTGCCCACCTCAGCCTCCCAAAGTGCTGAGATTGCAGGCATAAGCCACCATGCCCAGCCCAAGGATTCTTTTTCAAACAATACTCCAGTGACATTATTTTTCCTTTAAAAACATTAATTGTAGTTTATCGGTATCATCACATAGGTAATTCTAATTTCCCTTTTGTTTGTATACTCATTAATTCATGCATTCATTTACAGTTAGTTTAAATGAGAATCAAGACAAATTCCATGCATTGCCTTTGATGTGCCTCTCAAGTTTCTTTTAATCTAGAAGTTTCTACTCTCCATTTTTCCTCTTTTGTAATGTATTTGTTGAAGAAACCAGGTTACTTGTCTTACAGACTTTACCACATTTTAGATTTTGCTGATCTTGTTGCCATGTTTTTTCATGTTCCCCTGTCCTCTATTTTCTATAAACTATCTTAATTTGTTTGGAAGAATACATCATAGATGCTATTATGTTTTCTATCAAGAAGTAGAGAATACTTTGTTATCTGTGATGTTAGTGAACACTGATGATCTTTGCCTAGATTCATTATTCATTAGAAGTTTTCAAAATAATGATGTACTAATTCTATCATTTCTTCTTTATTAGCTGGAATACTTCTAGGGAGAAACACTTTTCTTTATTTGGTTTTGTCATTGTGTCTTAATCCTTTTGTTTTTAAAATGTTATTTCTATTTGGTTATCTTTGGCTCAATTTTAGATAAAAGACATTTAAAGAGAAGAGATGTTGTGTGTATGTATTTTTATTAGTATCTAGAAAAGCAGACCAGAAGATATAATACCTTTTTGAAATCTGTGTCTTGCATGAAAACAATATTGCCCTTTCTCAGTAATTAATTAAATGTAAATCTTTACGTTGACATTTCACTTACATTTTCTGAGTGCTAATACAATCGCTTAGCTGGTTTCAATAGAATTTATTATGGGTTTCACAGTGGAAACATTTGAAACCACACTGCCCTTTAGGTTTCAGTTCATGTTGTTGAGTTGTTTGACTTTGCTACTCAGCAGAATACCCATGGGTCCTGACCTACAAGACACTTAGGTTACTTCCACATCACCTGCTACTCCTCCATTTGAGGAAGCTTTGTTAGAGACTTAAAATTTTGCTGCATTGTGAAAATTAAAAATTCCACGAAAACTAAAACATCTTAAATTAAATGATAGTCACAGAGCATTCAAATAAGCTGTTTAATAATTAAGCTGAGTAACAGAGCTGAATACCTAAGTGTGAATATTAAAGCTCAGATAAATTGATTTTGGCAGATGGTGGCTAAAAAGACCTGTCATTGAGATTTGAATGGGATTTTTCAGGGACTTTAGAAGAATCTAAAGTTAGATCTTCCAGAAGAATTGAGTTTCTGATAAATTTACATCAGAAAATATGATGTTAGAGCAGAGGAAAAGAAAGGAAAAACAAAAATAAATCTCTTCAGGAGAGTTTACAGTCTTTTGGTAAAGGACTGACTTTTTAGAGGCAGTCACTGAAGTTAGGGATTCTTCAGATATGATGAAAGGGTCTTGTCTTAACAGTGCTCTCCATGAGCCTGGTGAAGCTCAAGTGTGCTTGATTTCATCACCATGAGGTGTAATACCACGGATGTGAGTTTTCACAATGTCCACACAACCTAGGACTATATTCTGTTTGTTTTAAGCATGTCCTGCTGCAGTGTCAGATTTCCACATGTATAGAAGTCATACCAGCCAAGTGATAGTCCAATTGCCAGCTCAGGACTGTAAACTTTCCCATGACATTCTAGCTTTATTAGATTGAATGTTTATTGTGAGTTCAATAAGATATTCATAGATCACACCTTTCCCAATGTTAAACTCTAGACAAGAACATGCTTGCATGAAGCATAAATGGACTTTCATTTCAGCATAGGAAATGTTCATTGTAGCATCACAGACTTCTAGGCCTTGTGGGAACTTTATTGTTCTTTTTTTTTTCCTCAAGCACCTCTGTGATCCACCACAAAGTTAACTCCTAAGTTCTAAAAAATTATCTCCATTCCATTTCTTGGTTTAGTAATGCATTCCAGATGAATATGGCACCATACCCGGAGGTTAGTTTTCCTTTGGAGTCATTGACTGACACTGGCATCTGAAGGTCATTAGGAGCCCAGGCTGTATCAGTTATATTTCATTCTGAATTCGTGTGTGGAATGTACTTGGCCTTGTGTTGTCACCCTGGTGAAAGGACTTCCTGTGCTGATGTTGGCCTAAAAGCCCCTTTAAGAGGAGCTATGGTTAGATGTGACTGGGGAGGCCAGCTGGCAGCCAGGCAAGGTCTCACAACAGATCAGCCCTGGTGGAATGACCACAATTCAGAGACTGTTCTTCAGCCCTATCATTGTATATTCATCTTTAGCTATGTACAAAGGTCAGAGGCATTAACTTGTACTTTCCAAACTCACAAGAAGCAGATGTATAAACCAGAAAGCCAGCATATTTAATAGAGAAGAGTATTCCTTTCTCATGACAAAAAAACTATCACATTTGTTGATGGTTTTCTCCACATCATTTGTCTCTACCTGTCATTTTCCCCTTAAAATGTAATTTCCATCACTCTGTTTCAGCATATGCATAACAAGCACATGGTAAATATTTTTTGAATAGATGAACAAAGAGATAGATGAAGTTACGAATGCAAAGAAACAGGCATAAACAGATTTAGAGACAAAATACAATATGTGATTCTTGGAAGACTGTACTACCCAGTTGATAGGAATAGAAATACAAGGCACTCTGGAGCACTTCAGGCATTCCAGTTTCCTAAAGGACAATGACATTTCACTCTTTCTGAGATTACAGCTTTGTCACCTTGATAACAGTTTTGCGTATTTCAGTCTGCAATTATATCCCACAAATGGATAATCTGGATTTTACTGGTTCAGTTCTTTAAGAGCAATCTGCTGTTCTTCTTTTTTAAGATGAGCACTTGTCTGTGGTCTTCCTAGCACAGCCTATACTCTCCATTCAGGAGGTGGAGTTTGGGTGCTCTATACCTTAATGTCTGACAGGTAACAAGGAGCAGAGACAGTGTTCATTCCTTTATGCATTTCTTTGCCAGGAATGTCTGAGATGATTAGGCATTGTTTGCAACTAACTGGGCTAATGTGTAACACATAAAAGTCATATCTTCAAGTGTTTGTTGAATTTAATTCAATTTTTTTTTAAAAAAAATACAGACTTAAACTAGATAGGATCCGAATGCCATGTATTCTATTCCAGTGCATTTGCACAAAATTGCCTGCTTGCCCGCCTTCTTTTCTTCCATAAACCTGTATCGAGTGTCAGCTCCATATCAGGTGTCATGACTGCAGCAGCACATAAGGTCAGACTCTAACATCCTCAAGCATGCCCAAGATGGTGGGAGTGATGTAAAGCAGCCCAACATTACAGTAGAATTGGCTGTGAAATAACAGAGCAATAGCTTGACTCTTCCTATAGAAGTTAAGGTTATAAGTCTGAGAGGATGGAATAGTGATCATCACATGGAGATGGAGCTTTTCCAATTGAGGAAAGAGTGTGAAACAAAACATGTGAAAAAGAGACACTTGCAATCCCTGACTTTGGAAGGCTGAAGCAGGTGGATTGCTTGAGCCCAAGAGTTCGAGACCAGCCTGGCCAAAATGGTCAAACCCCATCTCTACAAAAAATACAAAAATTAGCTGGGCATGGTGGCACAAGCCTGTAATCCCAGCTATTTGGGAGGCTGAGGTGGGAGAATTGCTTGAGCCTGGAAGCTAGAGGTTGCCGAGATCATGCCACTGCACTCCAGCCTGAGTGATAGAACAGAACTCCATCTCAAAAAAAGAGAGAGAGAGAGGGAGAGAGAGATAGCCGGCGTACATAAATTATATATATGATTGTGGGTTGTTTTAGGATAGAAGGCTAGAAACAGAAGCATCATCCAGACCAGGAAGATCCCTGAATAGGATCACAAGAAGTGTTTACATTATTGCATCAGTAGTGGGGACAAGAAACCTAAGAAGGGCCATGTTGTGATCTGATTTTCAATGCAGCAATATCTATCACACTGTTTCCTGGAAGACTGGGATCTGCTGCTTTGCATGCTTGGCCAAAAAATAGATTTCTTACTTCACTATGTTCCACCTGCATCTCATCTCACTGCATTCTAGCCAGCCATGATGGTCATCTTTGATTTCCTAAAAAGGCCAAGTACTTTTCTTATTCTTTGTTGTTGAATGCACAACACATTTTGAATGAACAGCACTGCAGGCTCCCTCTGTTTGAAACACTTTTCTCCCCTACTCTTTATGTAACTAGATTTTTTCTTTAGGTTTCAGCTTAAATGTCACCTTCTAGGAGAACCTTCCTAGATCCTCACTCCCTAATACAGGTCATTCTAATTTAATACTCTCATTTCCTTCACAGCAGCTAATATTTTATTTGTTCACTGACTTATGTTTTCATTTACATCCACCACAAGAATATAAGCTGCAAGAAGGAGATTGCTCACTGATGTGTCCCTAGTGCCTTGCACCTGTGTCTGGCACCCAGGCAATGATCGTCAAGTGCCTGTTGAATGAATAAACACAAATAGGACTGAAGGTGGAGAAGTCCTTTAGAAGGGGTTGTACTTGTTCAGATGATAAATGACGAAGGTCAGAACTGAAGCTGGGTCTATAG